TTATTAACTAACTCAAGTGTCGCATATGGTTATTAAACAACCCAAGTGTCACATATGGTTATTAAATAACCCAAGTGTCACATATGGTTATTAAATAACCCAAGTGTCACATATGGTTATTAAATAACCCAAGTGTCACATACGGTTATGGAAACAGAAAAAAAATCATTCATCAGATTTTTTCATGTCATGCCTGCTTCATCTAAAAAACTGACGCTAAAGTCGATATGAATCATTTTGTCTTTCTCATTTGGTCATGACAAGGTCTATCGAAATATTTTGATGCTCATAAAATATGCAAACAATTAGTCTGCTGTAAATAATGAACATTACACCTTAATCAATATAATAATTTATAATTGGATTTCTAGATTATTTCACTAGTCTGAAGGCAATATTATACTTCATATTATATCAGGACTTCCTTTAAGAAATACACATTCAAAAAAAGTTATATTAAAACATAAACTATTTGGGAACTTCAATGTCTGGAGCAAAGTCAAGAGGTCTTAATTTCATCTCTGTTGTTTTCAGTGAGTAACCATAGCCCATCCAGTGAAACCATGTGACCCCTATAGCGTCCTCTGTTGTATTTCCGCGAAGATATAGTCCGTTCAGATTAGCATAATGACATTTGTTATACCACCAGCCTCCTTTGTATCTCTGAGAGCAATGTAATTTGTAATTATCGTTGTCCATGTCTTTAGTGGAAAATGGCGTCCCATTGGAATGCAACAAGGAATCTCCTGCCAAAAGAATCAATATTTGTAAAACCCGAACTTTATTTCAGCTTCTTCCCTATGTAAAAATAACACATAAATAAAAAGTTGATTAAAGTATAAAAATACATTGTTTGAAGTCAGGTAAAAAATATATCGAATTTTCTGTTGTTGTTTTTTATTGAAATATGAGCTGAGTATTCCAGTTAATGCACAAAAGTTTCAGAAATCATAAAAAAAATATTTCCTAAACATAAATCATTAATGATATAAAACACGAATATTGCATAAAATAATGTTTACGAAGTAAACACATTTATTTAAAAGGCTTATAAAAATTATCTCTATAGGCGTGGAGGGAAGGTGGCTAGTCATCACCACCCACTGCCAACTCGGGCTACTCTTTTACCAACAGTCACATTATAAAGCCCCGACGGCTGAAAGTGCGAGCATCTTTGGTGTGACGGTGATTCGAACCCGCGACCTGCATATTGCGAGTCGAGCGCCCTAACCACCTGGCAATGCCGGGTCCAGATGAAGGAATGGTAAATAAATTACTTACATTTGCAGATGATATTAAGGATTTGGGTTTTACTAGCTGCTGATTTACAACAGGATTTAGATCATTTAGTGAGTTGAGCAAATAAATGGCATATTGGTTTTAATTATAATAAATGCAAGATAATGCATGTGAATTATCATAATTTGAATTATAAATATAATTTGGAAATAACATTAACAGTGTCATAAAAGAAAGAGGTTTTGGTTAATGGTTGATTAGTCTCTTAAGCCATCCAAGCAGTGTGTTGTTGCTAGTGGCAAGGCAAATAGGATTTTAGGTTGTATCTACAGAAATATTGCTTACAAGTCTAAAGAGGTTATAATTTCTTTGTATAGGTCACTGGTTAGGCCACATTTGGAGTATTGTGTTCAGTCTTGGGCTCCTTACTTCAGTAAGGACACTAAGTTGTTGGAAAGGGTTACTAGAATGGTGCCTAGGATAGAGGAGTTGTCAAACGAGGAGAGGTTGGAATCTCCCAAATTGTTTTCTCTTGAAAAAGAAAGGGTTAGAAAGGATCTAACTGGGGTGTTTATGATTATAGAGGGAATTGATAGTGTTAATGCATCATCATTTTTCATACTTAACAATGAGAATAATAGGATTAGGGGACACAAATATAAATTTTAACAGAGTAGGAGTCCTCTTCAGCTAAGACAGTTTTATTTTTCTAACAGGGTGTTTAACGTTTGGAATGGGTTGTCTTCGGATGTTGTGGAGGCAGTAAATTGAAGTGAGTTTAAGAGACAACTTGATAAGTATATGAATGGTAAGGGCTGGCTTTAAGATTTTTTTAATTTATTTATTAATAGTTTTAACCAATAGGTCCATGTTGTGCCAACACATTATGTTATGTTATTTTCTTTAAAATATCAATATTATTTTAAAAAGGAGTGACTTAATTTCTTATAAAACATACTCACCTCTTTATTAAGAGACAGCACACATGAGGTCTTATAAATTGGTTTCAACAGGTTAAACCTTCTCTTCATAATAAGCAATTATACAAGTGATCTCTTCCCAACAACCAAGTATTATTAAATCCCATGTGTTAATAAATCTCCTCAACACCAACACTATGCAGATGTATCAGATTATCAAATAAGTACCTGCAAATAAATATATGTTTTATAAATACGCCCAGCATGGTCAGGTAGTTAGGAAGCACTACTCGCAATCTGGGGGTCGCGGGTTCGAATCCCCCGTCCCACCAAACATGCTCGCCGTTTCAGCCGTGGGGGCATTATAATTTGACGGTCAATCCTACTATTCCTTGGTAAAAGAGTAGCCCAAGAGTTGGCGGTGGGTGGTGATGACTAGCTGCCTTCCCTCTAATCTTACTCTGCTAAATTAGGGACGGCTAGCGCAGATAGTCCACGTGTAGCTTTGCGCGAAATTCAAAACAAACACACAATTTATATATATATATATCAATACACATTAGTATGTGAGAATAACTTTATAATGTAAGTGTATACCTGCATCACCTTCATACGTTGTGAACGTCATCTGAAAGAGTTCCACTTCACTCCTAACAACAAATTCTGAGTATTCGGCATATCGACGATTTGCTTCAAAATCTTCCAGATCAATGCGTAGTACCGATTTTTTCTGATTCGATAAAGCGAATATAGGCTCATTTCCTATAAACTATTAATAATCTAAAGTTCAGCATGAATACTCATTTCATTCTCCAGCTTCTTGAAGTATACGCGGGATGAGCGTGTGGTATGAGTAGAAGACTTATCTTGGCGAATAAATGCCTTGTTGGCGTCATTTCCTGACGGAGATGCTCGTGATGATCTATCAAACTGTTTCCTAGGGCACATGGATGTCTTTTTCCCATTATCCTTGTTTTACAAAATATCGCACTTTCCTTACCACAGTTGAGATATGACTTGTTGAACGTCTCTTTCTCAAAGTCAAAAGTACGAAGGATATTCAGTCTTGTAAATTCTACACCGTCGATCTGAACACATCGTTATGGCCTGATTCTATGAATTTTTGAGATGAATAGGACTATTATATACTCTTCACAAACAATATCAAAATGTACATTATATTCCACCCCAATCCCTTTATTTTGTGGCTGTGGTTTTTCAAGTGACCCTCTGATTTGCATGTTCAAAATATTTTTAGTGTAACACTCTCAAACCTGTAAAACGTTTAACTGTGTATACTTTGTGCTATTAATGCTATGACATTATACTCCAAATAGTATGAATTCCATGGGTGATCTGACTGTTGAAACTGGTGCTGGAAACTGATGTCCTCGCATATGCGTCTGGTCAGGTTCTACCTGAAGAAAGTGCATGCTGATAATAGCCTTGCAGTGTAGTTTACACTGCAAAAGGCTCTATTGTAAAGCTGTCCTGTCCAAAGCATCCTTTTCAATTCATTCTTTCAATAATCAATCTAGTAGACATGGACTTTAGCGACGTGCTGAAGCTCCAAAATCGTCTTAATATAACGTACTTAACACTCTGTATAAGATAATTGTATGCTTTTCTTGCATTTTAACAATATAGCATGTTCGTTGTTGATCAGGTGACTTAAGTGACTAAATATCTTATAAGTCATTCTGTAGAAATGTTCATGACATTATGATAAGATAATGAAGATGCAACAATATAGTTACTTGAGTACTTGACAAAGTAAGCACATTGTGCTAATATAATAGTAGGTAGGTAGGAAAACAACGATTTATAAGCATAAGGAATAATTTTATTGATGTTTTTGTTGTATAAATCTCTGTTACGGCCAACAAGCTCTATTGATAAACAGAAGAAACTGACTGTAGTAGATAAAACATGTTGAAACACATTTGTATGTTGTGAAGAAAATAAATAACCTAAACATTTGATGAATTCATGTCGTTAGAAACAGAAATATTATGCTGTACTATTTCACCACTCTTTGACACTTTATATAACTCAAATAAAAATATTGATGCACGATATATTTCAAATAACTGGATTTTTACGTTTCATTAATCTAGACAAAATGCTTTGATTTTTTCTATCTCCAATATATAATTTCTCCAATGAGTTAGTTAAAAGAATTGCCCCAATATACTTCTATGTATCAGGTCTGAGCTGACACAGTGATTAGATTACAGGGCTACTTATCGAATGCCCGAAGTTTAAGCTGGTGAAAAGTAAAGATGGGCACGTTCAACACCTTCAGCGGTGGGATTGTAAGGATATACATGAAAATCATACAGATTTTGATTAACTATAAGAACTCGGTACAAATAACTTATTATTCATGCCACTGAAATTTGCTTCTATGTGTACATTATTATCTTTATAATTCAATTTTTGTGTCTTCTTGAAAAGAGTATAATATTTAACAGACGAAATTGACGTCACCATTGTGTTATAACATAATCCTTCATATATTACAATAAAAACTACATCGTTTTGAACATTTTGAACAGTGCTATAAAACAATTATTTGAAACTTAAAATTGTTTATAAACTTACCTAACCAAAACTCTTTGGATAAATTCCCAAATCCCGTTTTGTATGCATCCCAAGGCTGATAGAAAAAGTCGCTTACTTCACCAAAATCTCCACGTCTTTGTATTATCTATAGAAGATAATAAAATAGTATCCTATAAGTAATGATTTTTGTAATATGTTCACAATATTTATTTCCTTAACTGCTTATCAAAGCTTGATCATCTATCGATTTGAAGCAGATAACTGAAGTTGGCACTTTTAGTTACAAATATGATACGTGGTGTTGACTCAAATAATATTAAACTTGCTATTTAATTCCGTGAAAAACTAACTCTCGATTAGAAAGGATGGATATTCTTCACAAGGT